AAAACTGTCTCTCAAATATGATGGTGAAATTAGGGCATTTCCAGATAAACAGAAGTTTAGGGAATTTGCAAAAACCAAACCAAAATTACAAGACATACTAAAGGGAGTCCTCCAGTTAGAAAATCAATAACATCAGATAACAACCCAAAACTAGAACACAGGACAGAGCAACCAGATACCAACCCAGCTGGGACGTTACGAAAATAAACCAAAGCTAAAACACTGAAAATAGGGCAACAGAGATGTCAATGTGTAAAAGATGACAACATTAAAATAAAAAGAGGGACTTAAAAAATGTAGACATAGATTTTTCATATGGAGAGGAAGTCAAGGTGATATAAAGAAATAAAAAAAAGACTGGTATAAACTTAGAAAAATAGGGGTAAATATTAAGGTAACCACAAAGGAAACTAACAACCCTACAAGTCAAAATACAAAGCTAGAAAAATATAAAAACTCAGCAAATAAAAAAACTACAACAATGAAAAAGATGAAAAGAGAACACATGAAGAAAAACGACTCAGAACAGAAAATAAAGTGGAACAAAGACACCGTCAACACACAAAAAAGACATAAAAACAACAGCACTAAACTCATATCTATCAATAACTACGCTGAATGTAAATAGACTAAACGCACCAATAAAGAGACAGAGAGTGGAAGATTAGATAAAAAAACATGATCCGTCTATAGGCTGCCTACAAGAGACACACCTTGGACTTAAAGACACAAACAAACTAAAACTCAAAGGATTGAAAAATATATATCCAGCAATCAACACTCAAAAAAGATCAGGAGTGGCAATATTAATCTCTGACAAAATAGACTTTAACGTAAAATCCACCACAAAGGATAAGGAAGGACACTATATAATGATTAAAGCGTGAATACACCAGGAGGACATAACTATAATAAATATTTACGCACCCAATAACAGGGCTCCAGAATACATAAAACAAACTCTAATAGCATTGAAAAGAGAGACAGACCCACAATAGTAGTAGGAGACTTCAACACACCGCTTTCAGTGAAGGACAGAACATCCAGAAAAAAAGCTCAACGAAGACATGGAAGAGCTAAATGCTACAATCAAACAACTTGATCTCACAGACATATACCAAACATTGCACCCGATAGCAGCCAAGTATACTTTCTTTTCCAATG